GCAGGCTGCGTGAGGCGCTCGAGGGCCCGGAAGCCTCCAGGCCACCCATCAGACTGGCCTTGCTCTGTGGCAGCTAGCATCCGCAGAGTGGGTGCGAGGGGGTGGGGTGCACCTAGTCCCACCAAGTCTATTGGTGATGGGGGGTTATCTGTTGAGGATAACTCCATCCTGGGCCCGCTAGTGGGGAGCGGGCTTTGGGCGAGATGGAGGTGGGAGCAGAGAGAGAGGGACTTCACCAGGATCTACATTAGCTCTACATTAGGGCTGGCCAGAGACAGCGCGAGGCAAACAGCCACCTCAGTGCAGGGCCTGTGAGGCCAGGATTCTCAGGGGCAGAGGGCTTGCCTTCCTGCCAAGTGAGCCTGAGTACCTGCTGCCCAGCAGGCGAACATGTGTGCTTCATAGGGGGCTCCAGAGAGAGAGGTGTTCTCTTTACAAACACAGGACCCATCATGAGAGGGGAGACGCTTTGGGGCTCTTGGCCAGAAGCCAGTGTGAGTCGGAGCAGCTCCCCAGTGTCTGCTTTTCTGTCTCCTCTGGGTTGGGGATAGAGGGTGGTGTGGTCAGGGGGTGCTTGTCACCGAGACTCTGAGCCCTGTGGAGAACTTTCAACCTTGGCATCATCCGTGGGAACTATCCTCAAGTGGGGGCAGCTCTGGCTACCCTGGGGCTTCCCACGGGTGCGGCCTTCGGGGAGAAACCATCCCCTATCCTGAGAATCACTGAGGAGCCCCCTGGGTGGGGGCCTGCTGAGATTGTCTCCAGGTCCTTCCTGGCATGAGCTGCAGAGAACTAGAAAGTATCTGCTATTGTTAGTTTCACAAAAGAAGTGATCAAATAACTGGTTTCTGCCCTCAAGGAATAGATGGTTTGCTGCAAGGGGAGCGATGGAAAGATGCAGAAAGAAAGGAAATGGGAAAGCAAGCCCGCCTTCCATTCCTCCAGCTACGCCCCAGGCCTCTCGTGTGGGCAGAGAAAGCAGTGAGGCCGTGGTCAGGCAGGAGGATGTAGGGCCAAGTGGCCAGCGCTGCTGTTCGAGTCTTTCCACTGGAAACCAGCTCTTCCCTGGGGAGCTCTGTGATTGCACAAACAAAGCCTGCTCTCGGGCCCTTTCGCACCCCCGAGTCTGGCTGGCTGTATCCAAACGATTAAACCAAGCCATAAGCAGGGACCCAGGGTCTTGAAGGCCCAATTCCCACCCAGGGCCTCAGAGGAGGCGGCCTTCCATCTGTGCCCTGAGGAACACCCCTTCCAAGGCCCTCATCTCTACCGCTTAGCTCCATGCCATGTTCTGAGCCAAACCTAAAGCTTCCGGATCTGGTAGGAGCTGGCACCATCCAGATCTGGAGGGCAACGTGACAGTCCTGCAGGCGGGTAGGTGGGGGTGGGTGGGGGTGGGAGGGAACAAAAACAAACCAAAAATAAGGCTGTAAAACATGCGTGATTGTTGTTGCTGTCACTGTATTGTGACACAGGAGATCCCACTTAGAGAAGTCATCTAAGGAGATCAACTAGGAAGCAAAGAAAGATTTCTTCTCCAGCATTCCCGGGGCACTCTGTTTACATCATAATAAAGGCTGTCTGCAGCCCAGGCCTTTGAAATGGGATCACTGCATAGACTATCCTATAGTCTGTTAATCGAGTTCTAGGCAGCCATTGTAGGATTTTATGCCTGCATTTGTGGACCTAGGAAAGTTCGGGATAAGGTTATTTTTTAAAACAAACAAACTCACTGCCTTTCAGTCTCTCGGAAACACACAGGGGCAGTTCGTCCCGCTATACAGGGTTGTTATAAGCGGATGATCTTCAAAAGCAGGCCATAATATAGGAATTACAGTTTACTGCTTATGGGTTTTCTGGTTTTAAATCTCTCTCTCTCTTTCTCTTACACACACACACACACCTGCCTTTTGTCAGATTTCTCAACGCAAGTCATTTCTGGGGTTCATGCTCTGTGGATGTCCAGCCCCACCTTACGGCCTGCCCTCCACGAGATCTCGAAACTAACCAGGCTGTTTGCACAGCCTAAAGACCCAGGACATTGGCAGAATGCCCCAGTGTGGCAACGACACTTCCTCGCGGCGGCCCTTTGGGACTCACCCAAGGTGAGGTCACATCTCCAGTCCTGCCTATTGCAGGCTGACTCCTGGACAGGAGGGGAAAGGGGAGCCGAAAGCCAGCACTGCCCCCATCAAGGCGCTTGCTTGCCCTGGGACGGAGGCGGAGTCCAGGCCACCCTCCTGGACCGAGAAGACCAGGTCTCAGGCTCACACCCTCCCCACAGAGACCCAACATTTACTTCAATTACACGTGGCGCCGCAAACCACACGGGTATACAGGTGCAGGTGTCTTTATCCCCAGTAAAAGGCACAGATTCCACATCACGTGGCCCTGGGGGGACCGACGCTCACTACACCCTTCATGTACACCGCCGTTTTGAAACCGGAGCAGCGTGGGGCCAGCAGGCAGACATTCTTACCGGATGCTTTTAACCGAGTATCAGACATGTTACTAAAGCACCGCTTTTAAAGGACTGTGTCTGACAGCACCGGCTCCTTTGTGGGCCTGTGTGTTCTGTTTTATGCGTTTCAGCCTTCCAGGTGGCCAAAGAGGTCCTGGTCACAGAAAGGACCAGACCCCTGGATGCCGAGTACAGAGGGGTGGGGATTGAATGGGCTCTCACAGCACGGCCATGCTCACAACCCTCAAACCAGCCTGAGGCTGGCAAGGCCACCGGCCCTCACTCCCAGGGGCCCTTGTGTTCCAGGGAAGAGCTGGCTCCACGGGGCTTTCTCGTCTCTTTGAGGAAGCAGTTGTCAGGCCTTCTTCTGCGATAGCTTAAGTGGGTTTGAGTTGCTGGCCTTCAGGCTAGTCGTCAGAGCTGACCACTTGGGGGACCCAAGGACTTAGTCCTGTTCGTGGTCCTGATTTAAAAGACCTGGCGAATGAATCCTCCATGTCCCACTGGGAAGCCGGCTTGTTTTCCCAGGAACAATGCTGAGGTCTGTCTGTGCTCTTCGGCGCAAGCCAGGCTTGCCTCCACCCCAGTCTACGGAGACATGGCCTCCAATGCCGGCAGCCCACTGCGAACATGTGCTGTTTCTTCCACGGGAATAACAGCAGGCCACCCGTGGGGCCCTGAGTGGCGCATATGGTTAAGCACTCCACACCGCGGGGCGAGTCTAACCCACGCGGAGCCCTCAGAGGACAGGCCTGCCATCCCTGCGCTTCTGCAAGACCACAGCCTTGGAAACCCCATGGCTGTCCCCCTCGGCCCTGGGAGTCAGCGTGCACTGGGGAGAGCAGATCTCGTTCAAGGGGTTCCGCGTGTCGGGCAGGGGTGGGGAGGCTGATGACTGGACGCAGTGTGAGTGTCAGGCAGCAGCCAGGAACGGGAGCCCGGTCCACAAGCAGCATGGGCTGCCGTCGTCCACGGAAGGGCCCCCACTCTCCTCCTGCCGGTGGAGGGGGCGGGGAGAGGAGGCACAGATGCTGGCCGTCTATTTTCTCCCCACAGTGGGAGGGAGATCATCTGCTGAGAGTCAGGAACGGGGGAGACAGGGAGGAAAATAACAATAAATAATGTGCAAATGTACTGTACCGCTAACAACCTGCTTGCTGTCTGTTCTTACAACCACCCAAGGAGGTCGCTGCTGCCACCTAGCCTGGTGGCGGTTGAGACAACATGGGCTTAGCAGCCCATGAGCTCTGGTCCCCAAGATCACCGCTGGTAAGTGGGCCTAGATCAGCGGTTCTCAACCTGTGGGTTGTGACCCCTTTGGAGGTCGAACAACCCTTTCACAGGGGTCACCCGATTCATAAATAGCAGTGAAAATAATGTTATGGTTGGGGTCACCACAACATGAGGAACTGTATGAAAGGGTCGTGGCATTAGGAAGGTTGAGAACCACTGATCTAGATGGAGGTAGTGGTGGTTGAGGTATAGAGTACTTGCCTCCCCCTCAGGAGACCCAGGTTTGATTCCCATCCACAGCCCCTCATGTCCACCAGCACTTGTTTCTGCCGTGAAGGCTTGGCTGCTCCTCAGGGGCTGAGGAGGTCACAGCAGAGCTTCCAGACTGAGATGGGCTAGGAAGAAGGGTCCGGCCATCTACTTCCTAAAAGCAGCCGGAGAAAACCCCGTGGGTCACGCTCACCAGTCCCATGAAACACTCCGGGGTCCCCATCAATCTGGGCTCAGATTCCACGGCTCTTTGTGTGGCTGGGGAGTGTGCGCTGAGGCTGGGGCGATGGCGGGGACGTGTCTGAGGACCAAGCACTCGGGGCTACTGCAGCTGGAGGACCCCGTGGGGTGAAGTTCCGCTCAGGTGGTGTCTCCCAGTTCCCCAGCGGGTATTGTTACAGCCCTACTCCTCTGCCAGACCATCGGGAGGCCGTGCTAACATTGATGCTCGATTTTCATCATAGAACAATGCGTGATGACTATGAGGCAGCTTCAACAATGTGCCTGGAAAAAGCCCCGTTATCTTTTTTGGCTGTTTGCTTGAAACTAGCCCATGGGGCACGTAAGTATAGGAGTCTGTCTCCACGTTCCTGCCTGCTGGGGCTCTGCGCCTCCTTCTGTGACCAGTGTTTAGATCCCACGGGGCTGGACACTGGAGGTGCCCGGGCTGTGATCATTCGCTCTCTTTTTTCTTTCTTTTTCCTGTTTGCTTTCCCCCTTTGATTTGTCGAGTATCACCCAAACAAAGAAAAGCATGTCAAACAGCTTCAGAGCCCCTCCTGCCAGGACAGTGACAGTAGCCCAGGAACTCCCCATGGGGTGCCTTTCTTGTTCTTCTTCTGTCCTACGCCAACCTCCCTCCGTCCCTGCCTGTCTGTCCCGCCTCCCCAGCCACCATCATAGCTGAGCATGTTTGCTTCCGTGGTTGTGAAAAACATTCTTCTTAGGGTTTTTTCTTTATAATAATGGTGTCATGAAGTGTCCATCTTTATGAGATTAACTGACTTTGCTGAACATATTGTGTTAGGCGGGGTTCTCTAGAGAAACAAAACCAGACACTTATGAATAGATAGATAGATGGGTTTCTACAAGGTGAAGGAATATAACAGCTAAGTAGTCCACACAGCAGGACAGAGGGTTCATTCAGTTCAACTCGCTCCCATGGAACAGTTGCTATACTGGAAGTCCTTCAACTCACGTGGGCTGCTGAGTCCAAGGTCAAGGCAGCAGACTGCAGAGTCCTCCCTGGGGCAAGGCAAGCAGAGTCTGCCCACAGGCAGCAAGCGGCAGGGCGGGTCACCAATAGTCAGTAGCTCAGGAGTTTAGCAAAGCAGGCCCCTACGGGTTATCAAATGCAAGCAATACAATGCAGTGGAATCCACCAGCCTGCAGCTCAAGCAATGTACACACCCTCAGCATGAAAAGCAGGTTTCAAAGTAGCATGGCCTGGCCCACAGGTAGTGTAGCTCCCCAGTTGAGGCAGAGAACTAGCTACAGCAGCAGCACGCTTGCACACACGCCCAGCACGCTCCAGCACGCGCCAATCACCAGAGAGCAAGAGAGAGGGGAGCCGGCCTCACATAGCCATTGATCTCTTTGTCCTCCAATCAAACTGTGACCTGATTAATCCCACATGTTCCTATTGGCCAGGTTGGCACAATAAACCTACCTATCACAATAAGGTCTTCCAAATTAATCCATGTCACGAGGTGGTGGACAACTTCGTGACGGGATTCTTGCTTTGTTTGTGTTTGTTTTGCTTTACGTTTCCTCCTTCTTGAGCCACCCAGACCGATGTTTAGATCTGAGGGGGAGACTGGAGGGCTTTTAAGGCTGAGTCTCCACTTTTTCTTTTGAAATTTTAGTTTTGTTTACTTATTTATTTTGATGTCTAAGGAAAATAAATTTCTGTGTAACTTCGCAGCCCATCTCATCAAATCGAATCAGTAAGCGTATGGCCTGAACCCCCTCGTGCGGTAGTTGGAGAGGAACTCGGTGAGAGGCTCCTGGCTTGGGGCGGAGTCAAAGCTGTCAATGAAGGCACAATCTGATGACATCTCCTTGAAGTCATAAGCCTTTTGTCTAAGAAAGATAAGCAGAGACGTCGCTCCCTCGGCCACTTTGCCTTCCTGCCTGCTGGAGCTCTATGCCTGCCTCAGCGGGCGGTCCCAGGTGCGCTGCTCCACCCTGGGAGCTGTGGGCACCTTATAGAACCTGGATTCAGGCAACTCTGCACCCACTGGCCTGTGATCTTCCTACTTCATTGGCCTGCAGCTTCATGAGTTGGAAGCGGGACTTGTGGGCCACATCAGACGTATGGACTTGAGTTGGACTGTGCCGGGTGCCTTCTTGATATCCAATTAATTCTTGTTTTGTTTTTTTTTAGGAGGAGTAAATGTATGTGTGATTAATTATTTTCTTTTTTTTTAATTGTTTTATTAGGGGCTCATATGACTCTTATCACAATCCATACATGCATCACTTTTGTAAAGCACATTTGTGCATTCATTGCCCTCGTCATTCTCAAAACATTTGCTCTCCACTTAAGCCCCTGGCATTGGGTCCTTGGTTTATTTTTCCCCTCCCTCCCCGCTCCCCTCTCTTATGAGCCCTTGATAATTTATAAATTATTATTTTGTCATATCTTGCCCTGTCCGACATCTCCCTTCACCCACTTTTCTGTTGTCCGT